ACCTTTGACCCACTGCTGACCACAGTGGAACAGACACAAACACACAAACTGCAACCACAGTATGTCCTGTGACAACTGTCTTGCCAAATAGATACTCACACATTGACCATGTGAACTTAAGTAAAGCAAATAACCTTTATAGATGCCTCTGCACAGTCAGACATGCAAACCCACACACAGCTAACACAGCACTTGGCCGTTTTCCTGTTATTGTTCAGATGAAGCTGGTGGTTTCGTGTCTAAACGATAAACACAACCTGGCATGCACAAATGCGAAATACACAACACGGACAAACAAAATGTGTCTCCAGTCTCCATAACTCCATCTCAGCATGACAGTCCATCTGTCTCCTCTCTGCTGGCATCTTCACCAGTTAGGAAAACCGGCTACGAGCATCAGCCACAATTTCATTTCGTCCTTCTATGAACAACTCCGCCTGCCTCTTCCTACCCCTAATCCTTTGCGGCTTGGGGTTGCTCCCTGTCATCATTTTCACTAGCTGTGCTTTGGGTCTCCTGTTTAAAAACAGAGATGTTTTTTTATTCATCTTAGTACCATTCTCTAATGAACGGCACTGCTCTCACCAAGCTAAAACAATACCTAAGAGAGGAAGCTGAGCAGAGTTAAAGGATCATTCCGATTAATTACAACTGGACTCTTAAAAACAGAAGTCAGTGTATTAAAGAATAGCACATACTAACAGTCCTGTCTTAAACAGCTCCCCTGAACTTCCTCTGTATTTCTCTATAATCACCTCTGTCCATGCACATACTGTATCGACGCTGTAAGTGGATTACAGTGCAGTGAATTTACCCATACCCTCCTCCTACCAATATTATAGCAGGTCAATACAACCAGAAATAAAAACATCACAGCACAACAACTGTGTGTGTGTGTGTGTGTGCGCCTGCACCAATCATCTTCATATGGAGGCTAATAACTATTGCCTTTCAATCTATAAATGGGAGGTCCCTCATCAGCCCCCGCCTTCACTAAACACAAGCTACACCACTCAGCCTACCCTGTGTTTTCCTGAATGACACTTGTGAAGACGGGTCAAGTGTTTGGGTTTGTCCGAATGGAAAAGATGACCTGGTCTCGTCATGTTCTCTAACACAGGACTGCAGTTCTGTTCAACCACTCACAGTTGTGAGGGTGTGCATGTGCATATTCAGCAGTCACCAATTTATTTACTTCTGCAATAACATAGTGATATGCTGCATGTTCAGACACAAGCAATAAGCCCTGGATTCCTCCAAGGCTGCACAGCATCTTCTGTGTCAATGCGTGTTTGTGTGCGTCATAGACACAACAGAAGACACACTGTGCCAACTACAATGACTCCATGTATACCCACCACAATCCCCTGCATCTGTAGAGGAGACTCCCAGGCCTGGCCTAGTGCAATGGATCAGTCTGGCAGACAGGCTGCCTGCTCCTGCTGCTTATTAGAGAGAGTCTTTGTTGGCAGAGTCAACACATGCTGCTTGCTCCGAACTTCCATCCAAAAGCAACCTTTTTTTGTGACATTGCTTTTTTTAAAAGTATGCTTTCGTCACTTAGTAAGTCTTAACAGCTGCTGCACATCACTGCGTGCCAGTCATTAATTCGGCGTGCATGTAATATGCAGACCAGCGTTTACTACAGTTAAAAGGTCATCTGTAATTTCTGGTTTGCATGTTGTCACCTTAACGTCAGAATACACTTAAGTGGGAAGCGACAATTTACTCGCAGTATAAAATAGTACTTTTAATTAAGCAGCAAGCTTTGGTAAATTGCTTATACGTCGAATTCAGCAGAAGACTTCAAAAAATCCAAACAAGGTTTAGTTCGCATCCGAAATGGTTTTAGTTTCTGCAGGTCAGCACGGGAATCTAAAACTGAGGGTTTTGTAATGAAGTTTTGCGTGTCGTTCTTTGGGGAAGACGGAGCGCGGCTTGGGCTTTCCGGGTGTCATTTTCAGCTGTTATTTTAACGCGTCATTAACATCCACCGCATTCCGACATATAAACAGTGAACACCTAAAGCTGTGTCCGTGTCCTAACGTGTCACCGGCCGGTTTAGGACCCAGAGATAGACGGTTGGCAGGCCCTGCTGAGGGTCTGTCTGCTGCGCTGCGTCGCTTCCTTCCTGCAGCCTCTCTTCTCATAGACAAACAGATTTTAACGCAGGTTTTACAGCGTTAAGGCGGAGACCTTCAGAGACTCGGTGCACCGCTTCACTCCATCAGTCATACCTTATCGTCCAGTTTGTCGGAAACAGCCTTGTGCCCGTTAGGATCCGTGGTGGAAACAGTCCATTGTCCTCCAGCGAGCAAACACACTGAGAGCCTGCCTCGCCTCTGCTCCTCCCTCTCTCCTACTCCTCCCCCTCCATCATCTGTTTTCCTCATCCCTCTCTCATCCTCACCTCTACTCGTCGGTGCCCTTTCTCTTCTCCGTAGGCCTATATCCCTCTTCTCCCCTTTACTGTCCTCACCCTGAAGGCCCTGAAACAGGTAAATCCCCATAAGGCGGCAGGACTAGACGGTGTGTCCCCCCTGGAGTGTTGAGAGCCTGTGGGGATCAACTAGCTAGTGTGTATGCAGACATCTTCAACCTGTCTTTAACCCAAGCAGTAGTTCCTGCATTATCATACCGGTCCCTAAGACATCAGACACATCCACTCTGAATGACTTCAGGCTCGCATCAGTCGCCATGAAGTGCAGGGAGAAACTGGTCCTCACACACGTTAACCACATGGTCCCAGACACTGTGGACCCTCTCCAGTTTGCCTACAGGCCCAACAGATCAGTGGACGATATGACGGCTCTGGCTTTATTCCATACCTTGAAACACCTGGACAACAGCAGTATGTATGCTAGGATGCTCTTCCTGGATTACAGTTCTGCATTCAACACCATTCACCCAGGCAGGCTGATTGGGAAGATGACAGACCTTGGCGTCCCAACTCCCACCTGAGAGGAGAATGACCTCATCCTCAACATAAACAAGACAAAAGAAATAATAGTAAACTTCAGGAAGAACCCCTCCCCTCTGCTGCCTCTGACCATCAAAGGGACTGAGGTGGAGAGGGCTGACAGCCCCAAGTTCCTGGGCCGTCAGGTGACATCTGACCTGAGCTGGTCACTGAACACAGTGAAGAAAGCCCAGCAGTGGCTATACTTCATCAGGCGGCTCGGAAAAGCTGGGTCATAAAGACTGCAGATAGGATCACTGGGACTGAACTGCCTGCTATGGACACACTGTACACACAGTGCTGTCATAAAAGGGCAGAGAACATAATCACAGATCCACGCCACCCAACTCACTCTCTGCTCAGACACAAAAACTGCACCTACAGCCTCAGGCACAGCAGGGTGGACAGTATCATCACACACGGAACGAGACTTTACAACAGCTTTTTCCCTGCCGCAGTAAGACTGATGGCAAATACGAAAATGTGAGAATATATGTGCAATAACCCCTCACTACCTCATGAACATAATGACATATCCAACTCCACCATGTGAATCACTAAGTGTGATGTTTGAAGTTCATTGTGGGAAATACTAATAACCTATTTTTGTGTATTGTGTTGTAATATTTTCTATTTTAACACTAAGTGTTCTTCTGGCTTTTGACTCCTTACCTGACTCCAAAGGAGAGCTGCACAAGAATTCCTATATGCCTAGATTGTCTGTTTATGCATAAATGGAAAATAAAGATCTTGAATCTTGGATCCTGTCTTCCTCTCCATGCCCTCTTGATTTCCTCCTTTCTTCTCCCACTTTTTCCCGCCCCTCTCTCAGTCTACCCTCACATCTTTTCCAGTCTTTTCCTTCCCATCCCTCTTTCCCATCAGGTGTAGAAGTTGTCCTCCCATTAAGTGGTCCTCATCGTCAATATTTAACATTTTACCATTTGAGCTCGATCAACCGACAGGCTGTAAGCTAGTGTCATTATGGAATTTAACTAGCACAACCAATAAAACTAGCATCCTGTTTATCTGCACCAAATAATTTGACGCAGAAGCATAAATAAGGCCTTACTGACTGCCTTGAACCAGGTGTTCGGCAGAGATGGCGACGCAGTGTGAGTGGCAGTTCAATGGCAGCGTGGGATTAGGCGAGCTCTGCTGCCCTCTGCTGGTCAGCTGGGAGCAGCGCACTAACACAATCGCTACCACAGCTGCACAATGAATGTAGTGGAGTAATGGAGTGAAGTTGAATTACAAAGAAGCACTACAGAAAGAGTCTCAAGCAGGGTCATTCACAGATATTTTGGGGGATAGGTGCTCAAAATCAAAAAAAGGACACCCCTCTTCCCAACAATTCTTCATTAAAAAAAAAGTTACCTGCAGTAGTACAACCTTACATTAGCACACAAATTGTAAGCCTGTATGATTTGAGACAAAATAAACTATTAATAAGCTATTAAGATCAAGTGTGAGTTGTAACAGCCTTTGATAATTGTACTGAGATGACAGGTAGAGTGTGGATATCCAAACCAAGGTCGCCAGGACCTGTCAATAATAACAAGTTTGGGCTGGGTTGGAACAGAAATTTAGAAATTATGGTCTGTTGTGGGTCGAGTTTGGACAGAAATATGCGATCCAATCCTAATGGCAGGTCACTTGCCAACAACTACCAGTAGATTTTGTGTCACAGAAGAGTAGACCATTCAGCCTACTGGGCTACAACTTAAAGATTTTGGCACACTCAGTCTGAACAGACATGTAAACACTGCAGGAATCATAAATTTGCACAATTCCTTGTTGATGCAGGCCCATGAGTTATAACCTAACACCTCTTTAATAATAATAAATAGTTAATGTTGTTGGGCATTAGTGTGCTTTTAATTGACATTATATGCAATGTACCACAATGAAATTAGCTTTAAAACAAAAATATAAAATTAAAAACTGCTAAAAACAAACTGTCCTGCGAAATGGACACATGAAGTTAGAGGGTAAAAGGACAGGTGCTGCTAATACAGTATCATTGCATACAATATTATTAGATTGTTAATAGGCCTACTGATGGATCATTAAGTGTATTTACTGTTGTAGATAGTTGGTTACACTATGAGCCTCTTCAATGGGAGCAAGTAACTAGATCTGTTGTACACAGTTCTATCAGTCATTCAACCACATTTTCTGGTGCAGTACACGTCTCTTTAGTTTTATGTTATGACTTCTCAACAGAAGCGGTGGTAGCCTATAGTATTGTATCTGTCTTAGCACTAGGTGCAGTTGTTGGCCTGAGTCATCAGTGAGGTTCACTGCGGCCCCCCAGCGGCCATGTTTAGGAACTACAACAACAATGCAAATTCAAAGTGCTAAAAAAACTATTATTAACATCAACATGTAGGACTACAGTTCTTTATTAGAGTGATCATTACTAACAAGAACAGTTATATTATTACTTATGATTATATCACGAGCTGTGTCTGGGGTACCACCATGAACTCAGACGTATTAGGACACTAACAATTAATAAAATGAAATGAACAAGCAATAAATGAGAAATGTTAAGCTTCCAAGTTCAAAGTTAGAGGACAGTAAGTGACTATACCTCCATATTTCTCAATGGGAATAACACAGCTCTTTATATTGATTATACTATTATTTAAAGGTATTAATAATGCTATAGAAAATCAAGGTAGAGCTAATTGAAATGTATTTTCTGCTGACCTCTCCAGGCAAATCCACAGTAGTACACTACTATTAGTTATGAGGGTGCCATCCAAATGGGCTGTTGCTTCGTTGTGAGCCTGTTGATCCATAAATCACTCATTTGTGTATTACAGGGACTTTGAACTGTTGCAACATTAATCATCATACTGTAATATGAGATATTAATGCAGCACATAGGGAGCATAGATGCATAACAAGTCTCACCCACTCCTACAGTTACAGGGCTGCTGACATTGGTAATGCACTTACTGTAGCTAGAGGGATGGAGTAAAGCTGGAGAAAATGATAGATGACCATGCACAGAATTTACATTATGACCTCTCAAATGAGCCATCTGCTGTAGTAGACAAATGTGGACAGAAGACGGCAGCAGACCTTAGTGAATCAAATCACACTTAGGACTTTAATCAGTTTTGCTGGGCAGATCTGATAACATGCCCATGTTTACTTACACTTGCCCATAGCTTCAATGAATTGGGTCGACAGTTCGTGGGACTGCCATCCACCAAACTTCTCCTGTGTGGTTTGTTGTAGCCTAAGCTCAGGAAACAAGTTGATCATTTAGGGAAAGCCTGGGTCCTCTTCATGAGAAGTCAGCATCCATCACTGAATCCTCCTCCAGCATCTGTAAGATGATTTAGACTGTGTATCTCACAGTCATGTCAACAAAGATACAACACCAAGAGGTTTTTAAATGTAAAGCTATTAACTTTAATTGAATAATAGATGCCATAATGTTATTTTAAAAAATCCTTTCCAGCAAAAGAGTTTCTATTCTGTAAAATATGTTAGCTACCTAGTAGATACTCTGATAATCAGTGTGTAAACAGGATGTGAAACAGCTATCACTTTGGTTACAATAGCATTTCTTCTCAAACAGACAAAGATCAAATTAGATCGTCTTGCTGAGTAAAATAATGTAGTCTAGTTGTGACACTAGCAACAGTCGAAGCCTGGTTCAAAGTAAAAAGTATACGTATGTAAAAGCAATACATGTAAATGATGAGAGGTTCCTATGAATTTTCAGAGGAAAGGTGTTAAACACATGTAGCTGAAAAGGAAGAGAATTAGAAAAAGTGATCTAAAACAAACCAGATTGTAATGTCATGCTGAAGTATTTTTGTTTTAAAAAACAAACAGGCAAGCTTGACTCCCCTGTTGATTAAAAAACAAAAAACAAACGAAAAAGCAGAATCCACTAAGATGTGCCAGCTGAAAATGCTTTATTTAACTTATACAGCCATCCACACGTGGTCACACACAGACAACAGATTTGATTACATAGGCACAAACAGAGCTGTACGTCCTCTGGGTAGATGCAAGCACACATAGGATGCCTGCAAAATAACCCCATGGTGCTAGATTACGTAGCATGGAGGTCTCCTATAGTATCAGCACAATTCCTGCTCTTCAACCCTCCACGTAAGTTCTGCTGTCACCACAGCAGGTTGCTCTCCAACGCTGCAAAGTGGAATGCCTAGAGGTTTTTCAGAACATGAACAATTGTAGCTGAAATGAAAATTTACTCATCACATTAAGAACAGTTTCAAACAATGTACTATCCAATGTCAACACAGGGCATCTAAGCAAGAACACTAATGTTGTAAGTTTATGATTAGATTACAGTGGAACAGTTGTTTTTCAATGTCCGGTCAAACCAATTGTATGTTTTCATAAGATATAGTATAGCCTACCCATCTCCTAGGAAGGCCAGAGAGAGCCTCTCACATTTTAACAAGTCGACTATGAGATGGTTTGATTTACACCTTGACGAGTCACGTCAGGGTGTCGGACACGTCTCCTCTGACACTGCAGCTGCAGAGGAGCATTAAACAAGGAGGACTGATAGCTGCACCCAGCTGCTAACAGCACTCCTCTTCAATTCTCCCCAGCTGCTCATCATCCTCACCCTCTCCACCTCCATCCCTGTTACTTCTATCCTTCCCATCCCACCCTTCTGAACTCGCTGACCCCGCCCACCACCTGCAAGGTTCAGCTTTCAGCGGCTGACGACGTGTCCCGACCAGGTCTCATGTTTGGTTCCCGGTTTGAGATGAGTTATGGTCACCTCGACCGCCTGGACCTTCTCAAGTTTTGGAGGGATGGAGCACACTTTGTAGCTCATCTCGTCACCTTCCACTGGCACGTACTCTCCCTCGATGCTGGGGGAGGGGCATGGAAAGAACGAGATTTAAGGTTAGTGGAAGCAAAGTGGGAGCCTGGCCTGTCATACCATCATCAGTGTACTGAAGTCATTTGCCCCCTCTTGTCTTTTTGTTGTTGGACAAGCTGTCCATGTTCAGACATTCTCTTTCAAAAAGACACCTTTTTGTTACACGGTAGAGACAAAAGGAAATGGTTTATATTCCAGCCAGTTCTATTTTCTAAGCAGCAGAATCAGTGCTTCAACTAATACTTAGGGTCATAGCACTGACGAGAAGTGAACATGACTGCTTGATTTTCATGTTGGGTCACTTACATGATACAGCTTCACAAGCTGTATACAAATGTAATGAGAAAAAAAACTATATCTAAACCTGTAACTGCTCGTCAGCTACAACATGGTCTGTCCAGTTCAGTTCATTAATGAATAACACAGAACATTACGCCCACATTACGCTTTTCTTCCTTTGTTTTGGCCCTGTAGCGTTGGAAAACAGCTTTTCAAAACTGAGACTCCGCAGCGTGGCTGAAGCTGGACACACTGCTCTCCACCAAAAAGAAAAACTAACTTCTGTCATAATTCACTGTAAACGCCAACACAGTCTGAGACTGAAAGCTGTTTTCCTGTCATTTAGGGTTTGTACTGTGTGTCGCTTTGACACGAAGAGCCTTTTTGGATTTAGCCAGCTGAGTGTGGGCATGCCCCAACCATTTAGGATCTATCAAACCACCTTCAATACCACAAAGCCAGCTCATTTGCAGTGGTGGAAAGCAATTTAGTACTTTACTCAAGTACTGCACTTAAGTACGATTTTGGGGTACCTGTACTTTACTTGAGTATTTTCATTTTATGCTACTTCATACATACTTCACTACATTTTAGAGGCAAATATTGCACCTTTTACCCCACTATATTTATTTGATAACTTTAGTTACTAGTTACCTTTCAGAATCAGATCAGTTAAAAAAGTACTTTTAGTACTTTGTTTTGATGCCAATACTTTTGCACTTTTACTTAAGTAACATTTTGAGTGCAGGACTGTTACACTGTTGTATTGCTACTTTTACTAAAGTAAGGGATTTGGAAACTTCTTCCACTGCTGCCCAGACACACAAATGTCATCTTGTTAGGAACAAGAACAATGCTGACTCCAAGGAACAAAGACAGAAACGGAGACTTTGTGAACCATTTTATTTTATCCCGTTTCAAAGTATCCATTGTGCTGCTGTGTTTTATGAGTATTAATTTTTGAAGTGTGTGTGCATGTGTGTCTACCCCACTGATGTCTACTGTATTTCAAGCCTGTGGTTGATAACAAGGTACCGTGGTGAAGGTCATCAGATATTCTGCTGCCCTCCTACACACTCCTGCAGCTGCTGTCATCCCTGTGTGTGTTTCCCTCCCCCTACACAGAACCCTCCTGTAGTCTGATGACAGTGATTGAAACAAAGCAGCCCTCTCATACATCTCACCTTAGATGGTGAGGGAACACACATTCATCATCAAGGTTCACCCATAGAACAGCCTCACTGAACTGTTGATACACTGCTATTCACATCATTTCCAGAGAGCCTGAATAGTCATACAAACATATAAGGAGGAGTGAAATACCTACCTACACACACACACACACACACACACACACACACACACACTCATCCTCACAGAACACACCCACTTACTCTGAGATATGGACAAAGATGTCGTTCCCTCCATCCGATGGCGTGATGAAGCCATGGCCTTTGGAGCGGGAAAAACATTTACACACACCAGTAAATACTGGACCCTCTGACGCACGAGCCGTCCTGTATACAGAGACAGAAATATCAAAGGAGGGATGGAAGAAGTGGAGAATGACAGGGGGAAAAAAAGCAAGAGCTGGAGCATCCAGCTTTATGCCCTGAAAATATGGCATTTTGATGACCAGCATGTGAAAATGTCTCAGGTTCTAACATGTTATGATCCCGTTAAAGGCTTACAATCATTTGACAATACATAAGAGATGGTTTCAATTTGTAATGTACAGTCATGGCCAAAAATATCAGCACCCCTGCATTTCTGTCATATAATGCACCACTTCCTCTAGAAAACTGTTGCAATTACAAATTCTGCTGTAAGACCCATGACCTCTGATGATGATGATCCAACCTTCTGACACTGGGCTCTACATTGTGCCCCAGAATTCACAGGTAGTCCTCAGATTTCATAATGCCGTACACACAGTCAAAACATCCAGTACCTAAAACAGCGAAGCAACCCCAAAACATCAGTGAACCTTCACTGTGTTTGACTGTAGGGACCAAATTCTTTTCTTTGAAGGCCTCGTTTCATTTTCTGGAAACAGTAGAATGATGTGCTCAACCAAAAAACTCTATTTTAGTTTCATCTGTCCACAGGACATTCTCCCAGGATCATGGCTTCCTCGGCTATGTTTTGGCAAACTCCAATCTGGCTTTTTTATGTTTGTGTCAGCCGCGGGGCCCCCTGTGTCTCCTACCGTAGCATCCCTAGTCATTCAGATGGCGGCGGATAGTGTGAGCTGACACTGTTGCACCTTGTGCCTGCAGGTCGGCTCGGATTCGTCTGGAAGCTGATCGAGGTTGTCCACATCCAGGGAGATTAGCTACAGCACCATGGGTGCTACCAGTAAGTAATGAATTCAACAGGCTTCCTTTGCTATGCTGCAAACATATTATCAACTAATCTTACAATTCCTTCGCTGTCTCAAAGCTGTTTCATCTCATGTGATTTTAGAGTATATATGTGTTTATGTTTGTGTGAACAGATTTTAGTTATAAACCATCGCTGTGAGGACATTTGGCTGGTCTGCTCAACTTCAAAGTGCTGTTTGAGGGTTAAGACCTTTCAGGGTACAGGTTAGGGTATGTATAGTAGAGGGATTTTTCCATTGTAGGAACCTACTGCAACATCCAGAGCCCACATCAACCCCGGAGGCTATGCTTGTTGATGGTTAAGGGAAGTACAGGGTATACACTCATTAGGTTCCATTAGTGGAAATGTAGCATATGTATGTGTGTGTGTCCTCACGCTGAGCAGGTCCTGTTCCTGCGTGTGGGCAGAGGGCTGGGGATGAGGTAGCCTCTCATGGGGGAGGGCGAGCGGGCTCTCCGTCTGCAGGCTGGAGCCTGCAGGGACTCTGTTGCAAAAAATAAAACAAAACTGTGTCACATCATTACAACTAACAGTGCAGTAGAGAACATCGCTGTGTTGGTTCTGTACTTCTGGGTAACAACGTCAGACTAAATCCCCAGTATTGTGACTCAGCATCTGCTGCTATAAGAAAAAAAGAAAACAATAATTGTGTCTTAGTGAACTTAGACAATATATTATATAATATTCAGCTTGTTTCCCTTGTCCATCTTCCTCTGCAGTGCATTCTAACTACCTTCATTTGTTGCCCTGGGGTCACGTCTGATACACGTGGCATTTTCAGTTGCTTCTTTACACAAATGAAATAACAGGTGAAGACACCATAACAATGTGACAACCTGCCCTCTGCGGCAGACCTGTACACCTCACAGGTCAATGCATCAACAAAACAACAATCACTTTGTGTATTTCTGTCTGAAGGCCAGTTGTAATTATCACAGAGAGTTATGTATGGAGGTAAATCCCTACCAAAACATTTGAAGCTGCACAAACCACATTTCGAGTGCTACTCGGTTTGCAACTCAGTATTTAAGAGCGTGCAGGCACATGGTTGTAATCACACAATCAGATTTGAGAGCGTGGTCCAGGCCATGTGTGCGCTCATTTCTCGGGCTGCGCTTTCAGATTCCTCCAGTGGGTTTTGTATGAAAACTTGTCAGTGGCAAAAGTTTTGCAAATTTCAAGCGCTATTTAGTTTGCAAATTAGAATTTCAGAGTGCACAGGCATGGATTTGTAAAAAGCAGAAACGGGTCGGAGAGCCGGGGGGGGGGAATCAAGAGCATAACAAATGATCTATGCGAGCATTTACCTGGTGACTCTGGGGAACGTGGAGATCCTGGAGAGACCAGTGGAGGGGTCACTGGTCGTGGCCCTGGGACAGGCTTAGCCTGAGATGACATCATGCAGAGGTGGAGAGCGCGTGGAGGTCGATAGGGGGTCACTCAGCAGAGGTTGTCAACCACCTTAAGAGAGGAGGACAGACATCTTTAGCTGACTGTAACCACATGCCCCCATACTCAACACTTCCTAACTAATGCACACACACACACTCACAAAATTGTAAAAGTGTTGGTCTCACTTCATTAAAAACATGTATTTTCAGTCTTCTTAAAAGCAGCATCTCTACCTCAGCCTTGAAACACAACACCCCCAACACAATGAATAAGTGACCTGTTGGTGGCATTCTCAGAACTCTCATCACCATGGCAACACCAATTTGAGGACAGACCGACAATGCTGCGACCTGGCAGGAGACAGAGGGGGAGAACAATCCCTTCGTTCACCTTGGCCCGAGACCTACATCATCGGTCATTACATCACCAGCTCTGCCAACCAATTAGGAAAAGGCAGAAAAGAACACCTCCATTGATTTCTCCTTTCCATTACTGCTATATTGTTAAAAGAGGCAGAGGGAGAGAGGGGTGTTACATAAATATAATAAAAGAAAACAATGACAAAAGCACCAGGAATAGGTCAGTGAGATCCAAGACTCTCAATTTTCGCAATATTTCTGTAGCTGCTAATAGAAGGAAGAGCAGATTTTCCATTTTTCAGGTTTCCCAAAACAGGATTTAATGCTTTTATTTATTAGGTACCAAGCTGGGGAAAAAATACAAATAAAATAAAGGGGGTTGTGTGACCGACTTGACTCATGTCCCCCTTTGCCAACACTGAGGGGGCGGGGTTTACAACAAGCCACTAAGGGGCTATTGACTTGTGGTGTTAGCAGATGGGACATGAGCCAAAATAAAAACTGAAAGTACAAATCCAATTTTTTGGGGAACCTGGCTAGATTTCCTGAAGATATTTAAATCAATCATGAGAGACGACTTGTCTCTCATGATTGATTAACAGGCATGGAGACAAAACAGCTACTTGAGAACAACAGGGAAGGAGAGGGGTCCTTACAACTGGCACAGAGGGAGGGGGGGGGAACATGGAAAAAGGTCAGATAAGCAGGAGATAATGCCTGAGACGGCTCTGGAAACTTGATAAGGTGAGTACAGATTTAGTCTGTGAAGCCTTTGTCTTCACTGCAAGCTGCTTTAAAAGGCCATAGTGATGGTCGTGTTTTGGAATTCTATAGGCTAACTTACATTCCTGATAAGCATACTGTAATGTTTTAGACAGAATTCATGTTTCAGGAAGCACCTGTCTTTCACCTGGAAAGGATATGAAATTTAACATGTTGCAGAAATTTTCAACTTCTTTGAGGCTGATAGTCTGTCACTTTTACAGCATCACCTTTCTATTTATGGCCCCGCTGCCTGTGCAAGGCGGAATTATTCTGCCAAGTTCCCACCACACCATTCTGTATGAAAGGTAACAAGCTGGTCTTGTGCCAAAATCTGTCCCCCCATTAAGATATGTTTCCTCTTGTTAAAAAACTGTTTCTAGTAGTGCCCCCCTCTGTTGTTATGCCTAGGATAAGGTCGGGGTTCAGGTTAGGGGAAACGAATCGCCAACACTGGCATGGAGGGGTCAATGTTGACCATCCTTTACTTCACCATGAGTAGTAAAGTTGATGCAATCATTTAAACCTCTGTGTAAACATTAATGTTGCTCTCAAGAAACTGAATTTGTGATCGTAATCATTACCATGTTGTACACCATGCATAACAACTTTGAATCCAAATCATGTCGTAAATGTGCAGGAAAAGCAAAAGCACATCCCTTAGACGGTTCAAGAACCATTGTTGATTTGAAAACAACAACAATACTAATATGCTTTGCAATTCCGACATGTGTTATAGTTATGTTACACTAGACAGTGCGTTAAATGTCACGTCTAATACTAGGATGCTGAAGTTCTATCAATATGCATTCCAGTCTCCATTCATGAAGAGAGTGAGAGGGCTGACACTGAACCCCCCCCATGTTGCCCGTGGTGGCGGCACGTATGCACACAGCAGCCTGGGGCCCTCGGCTCCAAACAAAATTTCATTGTACATGTCACAATGTTACAATGACAATAAAATAAAGCTTCTTCTTCTGATGACTACGTAACCAAATGGGTGGTGCAACAAATTCATATAATACAGCAACAGAAGAGAACACAGAACAAGCTGACATTTGTTGTGTATATGCAAAACATATTCTAAATATATGCAGAAGTATAATGCGGAATTAAATCTGTAAAAATAAATAAATAAAAAAATTTATAAAAAGTTGAAGAAACACACCAGCAGCCACTAACTTTCTTTATAAAACTGTGCTTAATACACTTGGTAATAGCTGTAGCTTAACTCCTTATGTCAACAGCCAACCTAAATCTAAATGGCAATGCTCAACTCTTGATCTGCTCTGAGCTACATATGAAATAATATTAAAACATTACACAGCTTCTCTATAATTATTTAGGAGACAGTTTTAAACCCATCGACTTTGGCAGCTGTGTGAACAAGCTAGAACCCCTGCACAGTTCTTCCTGTGTTGATAAAAACGCACTCCAATAAACCTGAGACTTGGTACTTTAATGTAATACCCATTATTTTACTTCAAATTGAATGTGCAGAGACACAGAGCCTGAAGAAAACCAAATGTGTAACTGTCAAAATTCCTATGGTCTGGACTGTATAGCAGTGACTACTATAATAGTGGATGTGAGGCTTTGAGGCCAGCAAAGAAAAGGCTTCTTTTGTTTCCGTTTCCTTCTGTATAAACATGGAAATGCCTGTCCCTGCACATTCCCACACACACACACACACATACACACACACACACACACACACACACAAACAATAGCTGTGCTCGGTGCCACCCGGAGACCCTGCTGATAAAGCAAATACCAGCCCAGTGGGGCACAACACGCATGTAGGCACACACACACACAATCATGTGCACATGCATATATATGCACACAGTACATTAGCTTTTTAAGCCAACACACACGCCCATGGCTTTGCTGAGACTAACGCTGCACTGTGATATGGCTATTATGCTGTGTGTCCACAGTCTTCACAGGCAGGATGACACACTCCCTTCACTGGTTTAGGGTTTCAGACAGGCACACTGTCGGCACCATTACTTCCCAACTGGTTCAGTCTCAGGGCTCAGGTTTCTTTTTAGTCATTAGCTCAAGGTCCACACAAAAGCAATAAACACTTATTGTTCTGGAAACAGGCCTGAGTTATTATTGCCAGCATCAGATCTAATTAGCTAGCTAGCACTGGCAGAGGTCAGCCTGTTAGCTAGCCTGAGTGGGAGTGGGCCCGGTTTTAATACTGTTGTTTAACTGTAATTACTTCGTTGTAAATTTTTACATTTAGGTGCCCCCCCCCAAATTGCAGAAAGTTATGCTAAATTTTCATTTTAATTAGTTAGTAGATAGCAACACTGTGGTGCTGAAATGCTAAAGGAAATAGTTTAAGATGGACTATTTTCCTGCCTGTTACTCGGTGCATGAGGTGATGCTGTGAATCAGGCAACACACACCTTATATTGTAATACAACAGCTTTGACCATTCCATTAGTTTTATTGATCCTCTTTGCAGGATATGCACTTTGCTGATGATCTTCAAGCACTTAAAAAATGTATATAAATTTCAGATGGATTATGTTAATATTCTTTCTCCTCACTTGGAGAAAAACATGATGCCATATTTCCGTCCATCTTGGGAAACTCATCACATCAATTAGAAGATCAGATCAAGTATTTCCATATTGAACAGTTTATCAAAAGGACTGCACCACCTCTCTCATTCCAATCATAAATTCTGACTGAGCCAGATCAGGCCGGTCTGTTCTGACTGCGGTGCTTACATGATGCTGATTTTAAGTTCAAGTTTATTTTGGAATAATATTGTATCCTGTCTGTTTCGATTCATATTTATGTTCAAAAAACGTTTAGTTTTAGTCTGTTCAATAAATGTTTATCCTGTTCGGCCCACGACCTAAAGTGTGCTTTGAGTTTTGGCCCACTGTGCGATTGAGTTTGACACCCCTGTTCTACAGACACACCAGAGTAGATGTTCTGCTCCATTATCCTGGTCTTTGGTGAAGTCTTGCAACTACAGAATGAGGGAGTGTATGTGTGTTGCAGGACGTTGTGCAAGACATGGGGGAGAAGACAAACAGACTCACAGAATAGGAAAAAGGCATTACAGAAAAATGTTAACATTGACAGATTTGATATAACCACAATTTCCAATTCAACTGACAAAACACCTTTATGGCAAAATTCAGCCATTTAGGAGTCAACGCAGACCAAAATTTCAAACAAACTGCCTTTTAGCCAATCGGACATACGGTAAGAAAAGGAAATGCTACAATCTCATCTGAAAATAATAAATAAAGGCTAAATAGAAGTAAACAGACAACAAGCTATCCAAATTCACTGAAAGGATTCAGGCACACCAAGACTGGGAATACTGTCTGTATTTCAAAGCCAAAGTGACAAAACACACAAAAGGACAGTGGCGAGAGAAATGCAAGAGGCAGCAGAACAGGATGACCGTGTGAGGAACTGAAACTTTTAACACAATCACTCCTCTTTCC